GCTAAAGGTCGATCAGATACTTGATGACTCCTTGATAGTGAAGAATACGAAATAGTTGATTAGTTCACTTGGCAAGTGCATCAGCAACGGTGGACACATAACCACTGAACTTAGTTCACATATTATAAAAGATGGAACTGACTTTTGAAACTGCGACATCAGTTGCTCCGGAAAAGTGCTTCCATCGGTCGGATGCGCCGTGTGCACAAGGTTAAAGCGTCATCGTCATACGTATTATCTAGATGTGGAAAACGCATCAGTTATCGTGCCACTATAAAAAAGAAAAGAAGAACAAACCTACAACAGAGGCACGCCGGCTGAGTCACCAGTAACAGATGGATATCATTCCGGAGAGTTAACAGCCGGCTATGTTGGCTGTAAAGAGGAGTTACGATATGCTTAGTAAATGAGATCGTAGTTAGGGAGGGAGGCTAAGCGAGAGGGGGATGGGCAAAGGTACTCACGACGCAAACGTCACTGAGGTTGGCTCCTTGCCATGTCCATTAGTGTAGCTAGACAAACGTGTTCATTCTCTTTCGGACCCCAAACAGGGAGCGAGGAGACTCCAACCGAGGCAAACTTCGAAATAATGGCATTCATTTTTCTTGATTGAGTCATCGTTTGGCCACTCCTCCTCTTCTCCCATCCACACCCCCAGCGAGCAAAGAACGCACTTCCTGCGATACGGTGTGGTGGCATGAGCAACACGTGGCTCAACCATCGGAGCCTGGTGCGTGATACAGTATCGCTGAGCTGCTCATATCCTCTTCATGTGCCATAAACAAGGCGTCGAACACTGTCATTGCTTACACAAGATATGAGCAAAAAAAGGCGAGGACACCTGTTGTTGGAGGTAACCAGCCTCCTTATGTCGGCTGATCTAATGGGTCAGGTTCCACCATCTTGCAAGTTCACCGCACAAGAGCACAGTAATAGCGGTCCCTTTCTGTGGTAGTGAGACTTGACCCCTTCAGTTTGAGGATCTGAACCTTCTCAAACACGTTGACCGCTGCTTACAAAGCATTACTGGTGTCGAATTGTATTAGTCTATCACCAATGATTATGCGTGTAGACGAATACTAGATAGTGATAACTATGCTAGATCCTAAGAGCAGCAAATAACATTAATTAAGTTTATGTTCGCCTTGGCACATACTACGTATACCCGGTCACTGCCTACCGAGGAGAGCTCTGATTTGCTTACTGGTTGCAGGGTGGCGCAAGGCTCGATGTCGGTGAAAGTTAACTCGGCATCGTGAAGTGAAGTCACCGACTACGAAACTGGATGCTGTTAGCTGGGATCGCCTTCCACTAGATTCGTCTTGCGCTTGACTCCTTAAATTACAGGATGTGGCTCGCAATCGGTATCAGAGCCGCGACAGTTGTTTAACTTGTGTTTGGTGTTGACTTATCTGCGGTGTGATTGTTGACTATGATACGGGGCGGTTAAAGTCACAAGGAAGCTCTCTTACCGATATTGCCTTATAGTTGCACCATAGCAAACTGCTTGTGACGTTATATTGTTAAAGTGTTGGACACGACGACGAAGTCGCTGGTTAACCAGTACTATCGATCACTTGCCCTAATGTTACCTGTTCTTTTGGCCTAGTAAACTCCTCGTGTGATCTGGACCACATTGGTCCGCTGCGTATCACGCGATGCACTTTGAGGTCGAGTCTGTGGCCACACCAAAGGGAAGACTAACAAGTGTGACACTGTGCGCGCGTGCAGTCGTATGGACGCTTTCAATCATGTCGATTGGACGGTCTGAATCCAGAGAGAACGCCTCAGCTTTCCTTCAGGCGCGCATTGATGCGGCACAGAATGTGATGGTACTTTTAAACAAGAGCATATTTTGGAACGACTGTTTTGTTTAAAACTACCTACAGGCTGGTAGTGGGCTTGCAACTTCGCTGTACCATTCACTCCGTTTGTCGGTCGCCTGTCTGTTGATCGCAATCGGTGTATCAGCACACTTCATTGGTGTCGAGGATGATCAGCCAATGGGAGACATAGTACGTGATTGGTCATGCTGCCAATCTGGCGTAAGGAGCTATCACTAGCATGGGGGCGAGAGGAAATCTGTGAGTGGTAATAAGAAGCGGATTGGTGGATTTTTGAGGTTGTAACGTTTGCAGCCTGTTGTAAGAGGGGCTTTGAAGGCTTACACGAGCGTGATGACAACTACTTGAGTAGTGATAGGAAGCGGATTGGCTGCAACCCTGTTGGAAGGGAACCTTTGTAGGCTTACCGATTGAATGCAAGTTACCTACCTTGCTCGCTAGCCTATCTGGCCACACGTGATGCATAGTGTAATCGTGCCAGTGCGAGCAATCTGGAGAATCGATAGGTGTGCGACTTACCTTAGGAGGTGCGTGTGATTGTTAAGGCAGTGTGAGGTAATCGGAAACAATGCGATAATTCGTATAAAGGAGGTAAAGCTAGAACTTGGCAAATAGAATTTTTAAAAAGCTTTACAGCTACAAATTCCTATTGCTGTGTTTTTTCAGTTGGCCGTACACTCCTGTGAATAGCGTAGATAGGTATTGGTTATGTAGGCGGCGCATTTTATACCAAGATCAAGTTCGCTGTGTAGGTAAGATCATCGTTGGATCTGTAGCCATTGTTCCAGAGAGGAGGGTTCCGAGTGTGGCGGTGACACGACATTAGTGAGTGTTCGTTCGTCGCCACACCTGTGGGCCACTTCGGTAATCAGTTACCGCGACAAGACCCATGGTCCTGCCGTTATGTTAAGGTCGTAAGATGCATGTCAATCCTGCGTTTCAACATGATATTTACCCTTCACTTCCAAGTGATTGATAAGCTTTAAAACTCAAGTGACCCTACGGCCCTGATATGAGGTGCCTACGAGCATTGCATACGCATAGTAAGCATAGAGTTTGGAGAAATTTTCCTCCTTCAACAACGTCCCGGGAATTACCTACTTCCCAATGACAAAATGTTTCCCAGTAGTTGCTAAGTCGCTAACAACCTGTGTCACGGCGTGCATACATGAATGCTTCTAAGACTAGCTGAAACAGTGATCCATAGCAGGCTTAGTGGGCGCGGTTGCCTTTGTAAATGATTGCAAACACATTGTAGGAACGCCCGTGGGTGAGACAACAGTGTTTATCTGTTCCAAGTACTCACCTGAAGTACCAGAGTAACATGCCTGCGTCGCCACTAATCACAAGTCTTGCGTTCTTTCTAGCAGGACGATGTGGCATGTATAAACACCGTAGTCATTGTGGCCCCTTTAAGTGTTACTTCGTTGAGTAATGCCGATTCCTTGAGGAGAGCATGCCAGTCCATTGACGTAATAGGGAGGTTCCATCTGCATTGACTGTGCTTATAATGGTTCCATTTGGAGAGCCACTTGTTAAAGCGTCTCAACACGTATGGGCGATCATATGGAAGTGAAATCTAATTATCCTAAGAATACATAGCTTCCTATGACCTTTACATAACGCGATACATGTAGGCACTGAAGTGGTAACTGACTAACAAATTCTCCCATGGGTTAGGAGACAAACGAACACTCATTAACGTCGTGTCAACGCCACAATTGCAATCCTCTCACATTTTGTTGAGCCATCAACTGTGATAGAAGTAAGCAAACATAGAATTTTCGTTGTTCAGCTTCAGGTTGGTCTATTAACTTCAATGGGAACAATGTCCCCATGATCGTCGCAATAACAATCGCACAAAATTGTATAAGTACCTAGCAGCCATTGCTGACGTGCGGAATACCAGTGAGATTATTCTCTGTCTACGTCACCATGGGCGACCATATGGAAGTGAAACCTAATTATCCTAAGAATTCATAGGTTCCTATGACCTTTACATAACGCTATACATAGAGACACTGAAGCGACAACTGATTAACATTTCGCCTATGGGTATGGAGACAAACGAACACTCACTGACGTCGTGTCAACGCCACAATTGCAATCCTATCATTTTTTGTTGAGTCATCAACTGTGATCGAATTAAGCAACCTTAGAATTGTCGTTGTTCAGCTTCAGGTTGGTCTACTAACTTCTGTGGGAACTATGTCCCCCATGATCGTTGCAATGACATTCGCACACAATTGTCTAACCGCCTAGCAGCCATTGCTGTACTGTGGAATACGAGTTAGATGGTTGCCTGTCTACGCCACCATGGTTAGGCCGCTGAATAAGCCACCATTAGGTAGCCGCCAGTGATCGCCATAGACCGCTACATGTGCTGGTTAGTATGTCTATCCACACTGGTTAAGTCTTACGCTTTGGATAGTGTGGTAGCTAGCATCTCCTCCTTTGACAAGCATCACAGTTTACCTATTGGTCGGTTTCAGGTTGGAGATCAATCATCGAGGTTTACTCCAGAGGGGCATCAGGGCAGAACGGAAGGTGGTGCTCAACCACTTTCATTGGACTGTCTGTCGCTTATGCTGGCAGCTTCTAATCGGTGTCCCATTGGTTCACGTCCCATAACCAATGAGAGTATCAAGGACGCCAAATCAGCGTTCTCAGCCTCGCTAACTTGAAAGTACCGCACGCTATTTCGAAAATGAACCACGCTAAAAGTTTGGTACAATACGCTAATATGCGTGTATAATGGTATCGATTGTTGCACACGAGTAAGCGTTGTCCTTACTCTTTTTAAGTAGTTTTCTCGCTTATTACGTGATCAATGTCCACTTAACTTATTGCTTTGTGTGCGAACATTCTCACTTCAAACTCTGTTTATACGGCGGTGCAGTTAAATCTGTAATCGCCCGAACTGACGATTCCATGATCTTTTGAGCTATCTTTTCTCACTCTAACCACCCTACGGAACATGTCATGCACCTAAGTTTTACCCGTTATAAATTATTGTTCATTGTTTAAAGCAGTAATTTTAAAGTACTACCATTCAATTGGCTTAGTACATTTACTGTACTTCTGTCGTACTTGGACCAACTTTTGCCGACGCCTTGTTCGTTCATCGCCACCTTTCATTTTTGTGTTCGTGTTTAGGTGACAGCCAGCCTACAACCGAACTTGCTACAGGTAAGTGTCCCGATGTCTTTAACCTGCTTGTGCACACAATTTACAGAGCGCTTCCTGACGAGACTAGAGGCCTAGTTGGTTCGACAGATGCTCACATGTTTTTCTAAGCAGTCACGATATAAAATCAACCGTCGTAGTCACCCAATGCAATTCATCCAGCACCGTTTGGTTGATAAACATTACCAGCATAACCTGTAAGATGGATTAACAAGAGTTCAAATTCGTTGCAACTGCTTAGGGGACGCACTTCAGCGATAATCAACTCATCGAAAATCGAAACGTTAATGCAAAGTGCAATTGTGGTTTCCAGTCTTTCGCTAAGCGTGCATCAGGCACCTTCGATCGTCTATTAACTTGGGGTTAGTTAAAAGCAGAACTAATGACACTGGCTCATCATCATCATTATACACGTTAGCTAGAGGTGGGAAACACTTCAGTTACAGTGCTGCAATACATAAATGAAAAAAGGGAAAATATGAAACAGATGCAAGTCAGCTGAGCTACCGGTAACTCATGTAAAGCATCAACAAGAGCAGAGCCTCCGAATTGGAAGAGGGCTGGAGGAAGATCATCTGGTCCCGCGGCTTTGTTCAACTTCAACAGTTCGATCTCACGTTCGACTCCTGAGCGAGAGGGTGGATCCAAAGGGACAGCCCACGGAGCAGGGCGATCACTGGCCGGCGAAGAATCGAAGAATTCTAGTCGATTAAATTGCTTTTCAAAATGCTCAGCCCAACACTCCAAGCGTTTTGACAAATTGTGGATAGACTGTCCACTCCCGTCACAAATCGTTTCACTAACACCAGGTCTCCTGTTGCCCGTTTCCTGTATCAGACAGAATAACTTACGTTGGTTACCAAGGGCAGCGGCCACATCAATCTCTGATGCAAGGTGAGACCACCAGGGTTCGCGGTCTCTCTTCAAGCTAGCACGGAGTTTTGCCCGGAGCTCTTTGCGAGTTTCATTGTGTTCGCTTCCAGACGGAATATGCCGGCGAGCATCGATAAGTTCCAGAGATCGCGAAGAGACCCAATGTCCATGTTGGCGATTAGACTTAGCACATGAGGATTTGGCTGCTGCTAGTAGGGTCTGGTGAACATGCGACCAGTGACCTTCAAGTGTCTCCAGTGAGCGCTTACTCAACTCGCATGTCAGCGTATTTTGATACGCATTCAGAACAACTGGCTTTGCCAGTTGGCTGGTGTCAATGCACTCACGAGGACTTCGTGGGCGTCGGCCAAAACACATCTGCTGGTCAGCATATACAACTGCATGGTCGTGTCCAAACATGTGCTCCAAATCGAGCGACAGTTCTGGACGCAGCCTATCCAACGGTAAGTTATTGCAATGTGATTGATTTGCGTCCATAGCTGGTTCGAGGCTGATGAGTGCCAAGTCAACCTCCGGCGGGTGCTGTGTCGGAAATTAGTACTCTCAAGAAATAGGCGAGCACGTTCACACAAATGAAGTAACCGCTCACCGTTATCATTACGGGAGCCTACACCGTGCTGTCCGCCCAGATGCATTTCATCAGCGCACAACTATACAACTTGAGCGTTCAGATCCCCCATCAGCACGACAGTGTCCGTGCTTCTTTTGTGGCGAAGAAACTCGTTCAATTGTCGATCGATGTAGTCTTTTCCAAATCATCGCCACGGTTTGTGGGCGCTTAGGCAGGGATGATGAATAGACACTTGTTAGCCCCGTGCGACTTCGACGCTTTGTACTAGCCAGCCAATCGGACCGCACACATCCGGTTACTGATTGGAATCCGATCAACTAGCACAGCTTCAGCCCGGGGACTCAGGGCAATGCCAACACCAGCTTGGCCGGTGCTCGAAGCTGCATCCTCACTGGATAGGCGCAATGAGAAAGTGCTGCTAGTGTCACCTGAAGGGGATAACAGAGTGAGCACATAGCTCGAGTCTTGCAGGTGAGTCTCTGATAAGCAGCAGATATCGATCGACGGGGTCTCTAAAGTTCGAGCAAGTGCTGCCTGTTGACCGATCTGTAGCAGTGTGCGTACATTGAGGCATGCCAATCTGAAGAATGATCGAGTGCTCCAAATGGAAGCCGATGAGCTGGGCATGGCCGCTTGCTTGGACATAGGCTTGTCAACAGGGCAGGAGTGTCGCTCCGCGTTCACGTGTGATTTGAAACTAAAAGATAAAAACCCATCAAAGCAAGGTGGGGGAGTGCCAAGAATTGGGGGCTGAAAACAGGGGGATGAAGGTGAAGGTGGAACGGGACGGTAAGAGTGAAAAAGCGTAAGAGGGGGAATAAGAAGATGGATAGGCTTGAGCAGTAGCATCCAAACCCCTATCCACTTTGGTCGATGCAACAGATAAGACATCGTTGATTATCTTCTGCATCAAGAAATTGTTTTACGAAAGATTCAGACTGGGTACTATATTTTATTTTCATATAATGGATCTGTAATAGTTCTAGGTTAGAGAAAACGTGAAGGTGCAAACAAATGTGTTTCCTGTCCATCCGTCTATATCATAAGTGATAACTGACCTTTATATGGCATCTCTATGACACTGGTCTTCGTTTCCAGCAGCTACGCACAGAACTACTGCATCTTCTTTCATATTCTCCGCTGTGTAGGGATGCGCTGGTCTGGTGGCTGTGCTCAGTCTTTTAACTAGTGGTTTTCTATTCTGCCTCGCTTTCGATGGGGTACAGAAGTTGGCATCTTCAAGTTACGGTTACGTGAGGAGTGGCAGTCCTCGCAACAGTCTAGTAAATAGACACATAGCCAACAAAACCATAGAGCTTAGCGGATAACGGGCAGAGTCACTGCGCCATAAACATCATGAGATGACTGTACTTTTGGGGCTCTGTGTACGGCCTGTTCAGGGACACCTAATTTTTAAGGGTCATTGCTTTTGGACGTGAGCGGTAGGGAAGTGTGGTATTGTTTTAAGATCAACTTGTTTGTCTTGCTTAAACATGGTGGCCACAAGAGACTTTCAAGGGCAGTATTCCCTCAATATAGACACGTCTGTCACGAGTATGAATTGTCGAACCATATTTCCGTTACAGATGAATCCTATCTGGAAGGGGAAGATGATTTCAGTGAGTCCTAAACGTATATATGCAACCGCATCAATTGTGTGGTCGCTATCGGCCATTATGATCAAGGCAGCATTTTCTAGTTAATGCGGTCAGAGTTAGAGCGTGTATATATCTTTTCGCTTGTTTAAGCTAGGCGAACGCAGTCTTGTCTAAATTCCTGGCGAATATACCACACACGCCTTTGGCTTGTAAAGGAAGGTGACGTCAACTTTGCAACTACCGACCAATAGAATCTCGCTGCACACACATAACTGGTGGAATTAGCTGGCATTCTAAAGTGAATTGTAAGAGAAACAATCACGCTTCCAACTCTGAGTACAGTACTGCTTACAATCATGCCTGTTAGCCCCTCGTCAGATCGCGTTCCACTTGGCTTTCAAAGAAGTAAAGTGGAAAGCAGTAAATCTGAACACCCAACGCCTATGAATAATAACGCGATATCAATGTCTCGTCAAAACCACGATTATGATCAGTATCATGCTCACAACTGCCGGTTTTTGTATATTTTGCTCAGCAGCGTTAGCTGCTTTGCTTAAGATTTTACATATCAGTACTTTTCCCTGTCCATTTGTATTAGCAGCCGACACCCTTTTGTCAGTGAGTGGTCAGTACGCACCCATTGACACTGCTCTGACATTTGCTGTGTGCTCTGTAGATTTAACTGTTAGCAAACACCAAACGGATCACTCTCACTCTCTACCTTTGCGTCATAGGCGATTCCTATCCTGAATATGGATTTGATCCAAGTAAGTGATTCCGGCTACCTCTTCTTCATTCGTTTGGAAGCCAAATCTGATTACCCTTGTTTCCATGTAATTGGGTGTAGGTGCACATTTTATAGTAGCATACTTTGTAGCACATATTTGTCAGTTTCTTCAAACGCAATGTTGGATACACCTTTAGACATTTGGATTAGGTCAACAATGTAACATTTTTAGCACGTACATTGGTGCCATTCAATAAGAAACACAAATAACCTCGTATTGTTCATTCGTTCATATAATTATGCGGTGTGTTATTCCGATACAAGCTGGCGTTCACCCATTCACCTGTGGGATGCTACCGAGTTCGGTTCTTACCTTTACTCATCAAATGGTGAGTGCTAACTGTAGAAGACACATGAGTACTGCGACGACTGGATGTTATTATACTTAGCAGCTGACCGCTCTGTCTAAGCGGCAAACCGAATCGTCTGCTTCGATCCGCGTAAAAAGCCGCTGTAGATGGGCCAACTACGGAAGTAAACTGTTGCATGCTTACTTGACTTTCCATACGATGTTATGGCTGCCAAAGATAGGTTCACTTGTGCTGAAAATAAGTTCTACACACTGGAGTGTGCCCTGTAAAAAGCTTTATAAGGGGCGCAAAATAGATTATCTTTGACATCCCAGCATATCGTTCTCTAAGTCGAAATGTTGATCAGATAGGACAGGTGCAACGGCTGGTTGGTTCAATTCAAGTTGCCCGTCATATGTGTACAATTTTTATTATACGAAAACTTCGTACTCTTGCCTGCTTTGTCAACCTCTATGTAAGACGTTATGTTCGATACTCCATCCTCCCATAACCTGGATCACTTCAAACGAAAACCGACAATGACATTGTTTACTGCCCGTCAGCCTAATAAGTGCTCCAGTCTGTATGCTTTGGCTATCCAGACATTATACGGCTATGCAAATCCCACCAGTTACAATTGATGCGTTAACATGGCGCATAAGTTAACCGACTGAGCGAATAAACTCGGCTGGTCCCTGTCGCTTCCCAGAGTGGGACGCACTACACCACTGTGGAAAAGACTGTTTTAACATAGATTGACTAGGAAAGCACTTCCGCAACAAGAATACCACAGATTTTATAACGATTGGCCACACATCGGTCATAAATTTCTGCGATTCTTGAACCCGCCGAATGTCTCTTTGTTTATAATCTTACTCTTCGTTTAAAGCATTTCAATTCTTCGGGTTGGCGCAATATACATAGATGAATCGACCCGCCGCAGTCCGGTAGAGTGAGCTGAGATGTGCTGAAACAAATGTTATGCCTTCCGTACTAAAAAAAGAAAGAAAAAAACCAATAGAAATTCCATTGGTATATAGCGTTTTTCGGTACCATTCCAGACGGATTTCCATTTTTACTAATTGTCCCGTCATCGTCTACATATGATAGATTAGAGCGGGTCAATGTTAAGATTCCAAACAAGAGAAACAAGCGGTGAAATTCAATACTAGTAACGAGTACTGACTGTATTCATTCACCTTTGAATACTAAATACTGGATAGAAGCCACTACAAGTGTTGCCTTCGTATAAAAACACCGAAAATCACTCACGTTCCATGATCTTTTAAGTTGGACAGTAATCCCCATACTTCATGTCGGTAAAGATTTTGTCCAAGCATTTCTTTAATTCCGAGACCGACTGTGCCTAGGCTACGTGCGGCCGCATGTTAGTATATATATATATATATATATATATATATATATATATATATATATATATCACAAATTTTGGCCATACAGAGTGCCCCAAAGTTCCCATTTGTTTAGTATAGGTCAGCCAAGTTATAGAAATACGATGGTGTAGTGCGTAGCCATAAAAAGTCCAGAGAAGCAGAGGTTGGAGCAAATTTGACATATTTTGGCTGATTACAGAGGCGCTCGTTCGAGTTTTGAACGGCACCACAATATTTACTTTGATTCTCAAATGCACCACCAATTATTACAGGTACTTTGTTATGATATATTTAATGGAAAGCGGCAAAGCCATCAATATATGCGTCCTCAAGAGGTTGGTAGTATTTGTTTATTTGGTATATCCCAGTTTACTCAAAATATTTATCCACCTACAGCCACTTAGATGGCTGTCCTATTGGGAAGGGAAGTGAAGTAACCTTATGTAAACCGTAAGACTTATACTATGCGTTGCCTTTGGGTTAAGGAGGACATGCCGTTAATGGTTTCTCTTGCACCAGAACTTCATCTTCGCGACTCTTTGCGGCGTCGTCTTGTCTAGTTAGGCAGTGATGATACGTCTAAAACTTCAATTTATGGCGCCATTTATGCAACTAAACGTCCCATTCATTAATTCCGTCCAACCTCGCCATTCATGGTCGCAGTAATGCTCATAAATTCGTCTAGCACATCAAGAAATATAACCAAAAGGATTTGCGACAGACAAGTAGAGCCGAAGGGAATAACAAAGTGCGCCACATGTCAAGTTGTTTTGATACTCTTTTTGGGTAGTTATGTTCGTTTTACTTGCATTGTTTAGGAAACGTCCGGTACACAAGTGGAGAAATCCGCAGAATTGTGGCGTTTGACTCTGAATACGGGTACTACGCCGGTAAGCGTTAATGCAGTCAGAGTGGTTGATACTTGTCTAGAAGTCGTTGTACCTAGTGTGATTTCTTGATTTTTCCATGGAGATCTTTGTTTTCATTATTGCACTCGTTGTCACCATCGTTTTCCGATTGGACTGGTCGTGTCTGAAGCTACGTACACTAAACCACATGGGTCTCTAAAACTGTGGCGGCTTTTTGATCACAATTTGCGGAACTAGCTGGTAGGACAATGATAATTAGTGCATGCTGACCAGCTCAATTGGGACTCTTCAGGCGACGCAAAGCTTACGCCTATTTACCAGTCTGCTCGTAAACATTTGTTATATGCAAAAAGAACTTCGAAAATTAGTCTGTAATTAGCAGTTGCTGACGAATAGGTTAAAATAAGATTGTTGGAGTTGGTCCAGTTCATCCAACTCCTACCACTGCGAGTAGATTTGAGACTGGATTTGTCAAGGGTGTCAGTTCATAGAAGCTATTCAAACATGATTCTATGCTTGTAGTCGCAACGGAAGCTCGAACCAACTCAGGTTGAATCTCATTGACCAGAAGCCAAACAATAAGAGCGCCCTTTTATTTGGAGTTGGCCAATGACAGTACTCTTGGATATGAGCTAGCCAACCAGAGTGTTTTCTTGTATCCGGTATGCGTTGGTACCCCGAAACCTTTCTTTAAATCACTTTTAGTGAAATCTGTAATCAGGGCTTTTTGATAGTGAAAAACGCGGTATTTTCTGGGACTCAGTTGAGGGTTGTTTGGTGGCCTTGTCTTCTGATTTGGAAAGTGGCTGGTCCGTGGTCCGAGTAGCTGTGTCAAGCATCCTTGTGTCAGTTGAAACACAATAGATTTTGGTGACGAAGGCAAAGTTACTTAAGCCGTTGATCTCAGAAGACGACTTGAAAGTTGTTTTGCTACAAAAGCAGCAACAATGCAAAAACCGTGCAGTTGCGTATGATCGAGATTGTCAGTCGAACAGCATCGCTGCAGTCTACGACTGTATCACATGCTTAAAAACCTTCCGTTGATGCGATAATCAATAGTGTCAATAAATTCGTCTTTAATTCATGGGAGATTTTTATACATATGGTCCAAATGATATTAACATTTTTTCGAGATGGACTAGTCAAATCTTGGTGATACATAAAAAGCATGGCTACTGTTGTGTAACCTCGGCACTGTGGAGCACGACAGATAAATCAGTTTTATCTTGCCCAATAATGCTCACGATTACAGATTTGATGAAACGCTTTCCCGACTCATGAGGTGATTTGTAATCGGGCATCGTTTTCCGCCAATCAGTACAATCGGCTAAAGCTGCACAAAATGAACAGCGACAGTGAAGCGTATCAGGAGAAGGCAAAATCGTTTACTGAAGATCAGTTTAACTGCCTGATTGGACTTACATCTAAGGTCTAGCAAGGATGCTGCAATCCGAACCAGAAGCCTCGGGTTGGGAAGCGAGACCCGGATAACACCGCAAACTGTCAGTACAGACGCTCACATGATCATTGATTTGCATCACAATACTGATATGGCCGAGGTTGTAAAGACACAGTCCAATGATTTGGCATTTAGCATAGGAAACTTCCTCATGGCTAACCACCATTTGCTTGTTGATTATGCGGAGAGTGGCACTTCTTGAGATAATGCCCATTTTGAAAACATGTCCATCCGAAATGTTGAGCACGTGGGTAAAGAAACCATTTTAGATCCCGGTCACCTTTCATGCCTACCAATGATACCCGAAAGAAGACTTACCCATATTTTACAAAGAGAATGATGACCAACATCACGGACGGTGTCAGAACCCGAACAAAGAATATAACTATCAATGGAAGGCATGCGCGCTTGAAAAGTTATGCGGCCTCCGATATCACAATCATGTCGGAAAGACTGAAAGATTGTCGGTTCACCCGAATTTAATGCAACCAATCAACAAGCGAAGAGCACATCGCGTCCCGAATCCGAACTGTTTGGTCAAGACTAATGTGAAAGCCGTTTTGTTGACCTTATCGCCTAGGAAGGATTTTCATCAAGTGCCAGTGGCAGCTGAATCTTTGTGAACTAGACTAGCTCGAACCTTGTAATTGCCTAAATATTCCGATGAATCAGCTTCGTACACGTATCCAGATGCACACACCAACAGCCCGAAACTAGTTGCTATCGAGCGCAGGCGAGAGAAGTTTGCAATAACTTGTGATGAAGCGCACGAAATTGCAAGCTTCGCTCCACCGAAAGCCATCCGACCGAGAGACGCAGCTACCTCTTTGACTGCTGTTCACGGTGAAGTTGCTTGGTTTATCTTTGCTTCGCTTTAACAGAGTAGGATGTTTCTACTCACGCCAATTGAGTCAGTAACCGAAAGGGGATCTGCAATTTGCAGAGGTATGACTAGCTGTGAGGCACAGTTCGCAAAGACGTCTCCCGGAAACGGCCAGCAAGGGTTCGGCGTTGTCTACACATTGTAATCGAGGATATTGCTCAAGGTAATGATGATCGGTGAACTCCACACATGCTGGTTAATCGCTTAGTCTGCGACATTACCCCTTCAATTGCCAATGCTGTTGTGTGATTAGCAAGACTTTGGAGACCTGCTGCAGAGCACCCTTCAGTTCCATGAATGTATTTGCTCAAATTCGCGGCTTGAATAACGGCACTGTCTGTGGAGTCACAGAGACATTGGTTCGCTATGCGAACGTAGGATTCCGGTAAGTTTCTCGAACTAGTCAAGTTGAAGTGCATAACGTACTTGATGATCATCGTCACAGTCGCATTCACTTCGACCAAAAGTTCAACTATTGCAGCGTATTTAGGCAAGCTTTCAACTGCACGGTCAATCTATAAACAAAGAACAAAGAGCAATGATTTATCACGGCTAAAAAAGCATGTGCTTGATAAGTCTCATAGGATGGTCGAAGTAAAAATTGAAAGTTAAAGGACCATCGAATAAGTAAATCGATATTTTAAGTATCTACTCATTTAAATGCACTACTGCTTAACAGTTTGCAATGGGAATTTGATGTACACACACAAAATAGTATGGGAGCAGTTACAGTTCAGTAACTGCGTAAGAAATAAACAAGGAAACGATAACGCCCACTCATGTGTTGCTTCATTCGACAGAGGTGATGGATTAATCCAGTTTAGATACATCCATAATATTCAACAGGACACTTCTGCATGTATCCTCACCGCCACGTTGCGGAGAGGGCCATTAAGCATATGTTTTGATTTGCGTTAGTTCATCCTCCGAATGAAACAAACTATCTTAAATGCTGCAAGTTGGAAAGTGTCTTACCAAGAAGCTTTGTAAATAGCGCTAATGTAGGGGCAATGATGACGTGAGTCGGAAGGGTGTTCCAGGCATCGGACACATAGAGGAGAAAACGTTTCGTCGATAGTCAAGTCAAATGCAGTGCGTAGCCACTTTGTGCTGATGGCATCACAAGTTGGTATTTTGACTCAGCTGCAACAGATGGCGACATGGATGAGTCGGGTTCGTCAGTATTAAGTAAATCATGATGAGATCTCCTCGCTGACGTCGATATTCACCACTGTACAATCTCAGGGACTGCAGTCTGCGTGGGTAGGAGAGATGAAACAATCCTCCAACGAGTTTGGTCGAGCTACGTTGTGGAGCTTCAAGTGCATGTACGTCTCGCTTGCGCCAGAGACGCCAAGCCCTGGATCGCATATTCCACCTGGGGCCTCACGTACGCGTGCAGAAATTGGGGAAAGACTTATGGTTCGAAACTTCCGAAGTCCTCCGTAAGTCCAAGAGGTTGACTGGCTCTTTTTGTTGCCTTTTCAGCCTGTCTCGAGCAGGCAAGATTGTCCTGCACGCTCACTCCGAGGTCGCTTTCCTGGGGGATACGACTTTGCACATTGCTACGTAGAACTGGAGCGAGTTATCGGATGACCAACGTACAAGCCCTGTCGAGATTCCTCGGCAATGCCATGTGATCATGCGCCGTGCTGCTGCCATGCCATATTTTTGCATCATCTACAATAATAAGCAATTAGACTGCCATACACTAGCAAGGTCGTTAATGAATACTAGGAATAAACCTGGCCCCAGTACCGATCCTTGCGGCACGCCACACTGGACGTCAATTGGGTCGAAAATTGAGCTGCGGACACTCCCATTCAGCTTAGCTTGAATGAGGAAGTTGTCGATCAAACCGAGCAAAGAGTCACCGATTCCATAGCTACGAAGCTTGTGAAGAAGAATGCGGTGGTCCAAACGATTGAACGCTTTGGAGAAGTTCAGGCAGAGAACGTCGACTCCCACTCTGGCATTGGCTGACTCTGTCCAGCTTAGTCCGGCTATAAGCAAGTATGTAGTGAAAGACCGATTTGGACGGAATCCTTGCAGCAGTGACACGGATATGGTTGCTCTCAAGGTATCCAATGAGCGGCTCTGCGATTGTACCTTCCATTACTTTGGATAAAACTGTGAGAAGAGTGACTGGACGGTACTTCGCGGCCACCGCATGATTACCACTTTAGTAAATAAGACTGACTAGTCCATGTTTACTAACGTTGGGAACCTGCATTTCGTCGAGACGACGTTGAAAGAACCGAGCTAATTGTTCGATAAGCTTCATAGCCGCTCGCTGTCCTCAATGCCTTCGGTTTGATGTCGTCCACACCAGGTGAACTGTGCACGCGCAATACCATTAGCCTTTTCATCACATTGGCTGTTGTGAACGTTACGTGGTTTAACCCTGGTGGCGATGGAAGCTGTGTAAAAGCGGATGAAATGATGATCCAACTCGGAAAGTGTGTATGAATTGTTGGCGAAGCATGTTGGCTGCATCTTGTACGGTGTGCGCAAGACCATCGGTTGCACCTAAAAGCGGGATCTCGCGCTGCACTCTGCGGAGCTAGTTGACGTGTCTATACAACAACTTGGGATTTTTACTGAATTTCGCCACTAAGTTCTGTTGGTGCTTGAGTTTTTCTTCGCGGACCAACTTGACGCAGTGGTTTCTGCGATTCG